CATGGTTGGGGGTGATGGATGGATGGATGGATGGGGACCTTGCTTACAAGGACACGAGAATGAAAAGGAACAAAATAAACCAAAAAAATTAAAGAGTTTCTAAGTTTGGCCGTAAATCAGTGGCCCCCATCTTTTGGGGCACCAGGGACCAGTTCCGTGGAGAATGGTTTTTCCACGGACCGGGGAGGGCGTGGTTTTGTGTACTGCCTGAATCCCACGGATAGGGCTTTGCATGCCATGATCTGGTGCTGGTCCATGGACCAGGGTTTGGGGTCCCCTGCCATAAATAACAATAGCACTTAGATTTAGCGACCGCTTCATATTGTTTTCCATTCCTCTCTAAGCAGTTTGAAGAATCAATCACCACGTCGTCCCCAATAATCTTGGTTCTCATTTTATCAACCTCGGAAGGATGGACAGCTGAGTTAACCTTGAGCCGGTCAGGATCGAACTGCGGGCAGCTGGCAGAATTAGCCTGCAATACTAGCTTTCTGACCGCTAGGCCACCACAGCTCCACCATGTTCTACTCTTTGCTCTGTTGGTACTGGTCAGCTCCTTGCCAACATCATTTGATGCAGGAATCGTAAGGCCAAATTATTATTTGGTAGCACTCATTAAAATGTAGTTAACACATGGTTGCTTCCTTGAAGACAGACACAAATATAGAAATTGAGGGGACATTCTTTTGGAGGCTATCCTAAGATCTTTGGTCTCGTGTTTAATTTATATTCAGATTTTTATTCTTTCACATACACCGAAGACAACAAAAGAATACAAATATTTATGGTAGCAATCAATATAATATCTGGACACATCTTACCTATAGTGGAGGGTTTCCAGAAAAGACTGCCCTTTGTCCAGAATGGAATAGGGCAGTGGTGGCGAACCTATGGCACGGGTGCCAGAGGCGGCACTCAGAGCCCTCTCTGTGGGCACGCGCGCCATCGCCCCAGTCCTAGGCCTTCAGCTGGGTTTTATAAAACCTTTTCGCTTTAGGCCTCCACCGCCATGTGCAAAAAAAAAAAAAAAAGGTTCAGTCAGTCAATTTCAACTTCTCGCGGGAAAAGAAAGTTCTTGCAAAGTTGGAATTGATTGATTGAACTTTTTAGTCCCACCCAGTCTGCCGTTACTACCGCAGCCACGCCCACCCAATGGGCCACACCCACCCAATGGGCCACACCCACCCGGCACCCGACGATGCATAAGTGGGTTTTGGGTTGCAATTTGGGCACTCGGTCTCTAAAAGGTTCGCCATCACTGGAATAGGGTCTCCTGCTTGATCAGGGGGTTGGACTAGAAGACCTCCAAGGTCCCTCCTGGTGCTGTTATTCTATGCTCTGTGCTCTGTTTACCAGGGACCAACCCCATTGAAGTCTTTGCAGCATTTCTCAAAAAATATCCATAGGACTGAACTGTAAAGGGGGAAAAAAGTGTTTCTACGTATATGATTTATAATTAAATACCAGGAGAAATAAAAAATACTATTATTTGAAAAATGCTTGAAACGAACAAGCCAAATTACCACATTCACAATCAAGTGATTTTGATTATTAACGAGTCTAACAGAAGCATGCTAAAAAAAATGCTTTTGCTCTGATCTTTCCTCTGCTATCAACTTGTGCTGAAGAAATGTAAAAGAACAAAACAAAAACAGCATATAAGCAAGTCAAGAGTCATTCAAAACCAATCAGCCCCCATTCTATATTTAGCACACACAAAAATCAGTGTGGAAAATCCTTCCCCCAGGTCATTTATAGAACCAATTATACCCCACATAATTATACTAATTATGTACTAAAGCAATATAAATTGGTGAAAAAAAAACCCAACCCAATTATTTCACCAAACTACAGCAACTGGATCCTTATAATTGTCCCTCCATGTGATGAATTGGGATTTTTTCCAGGATTGAATGGGATTCTTGACTTTTATTTTATCTCTGCTGCTCTTCTCTGCATTCTTTCTGGAGCAGGAGTGTCAAATTGTCAGCCCGCGGGCTGGATGCGTCATGCCGAAACCGCACCCACCCCATTGCCGGCGATGGAAAAAAAGTCACGACACGTCACGTGACGTTGCCAGTTTGACACCCCTGTTCTAGAGTCTCAACATCTTGTTTACATCGTGGTGACCAAAACTGGATGCGGTATTCCAAGTGTGGCTTTACCCAGGCCTTGTAAAGTGGTAGTAACACTTCACGTGATCTTGATTTTATCCCTCTGTCAATGCAGCCCAGCACTGTGTTGACTTTTTTGGCAGCTGCGGCACACGGCTGGCTCGTATTTAAGGGATTGTCCACTAGGACTCCGAGATACCTCTTGTAGTTACTCCTATTGAGCAAGGTACCCCTATACCAGTGATGGCGAACCTTTTAGAGACCGAGTGCTCAAACTGCAACCCAAAACCCACTTATTTATCGCCGGGTGCCAGTGGGCATGGCCCACTGGGTGGGCGTGGCTGTGGTGGTCATGGCAGACTGGGAGGGTGTGGCCAAGATGGGCTCGTCCTGCGGGGTGAGACGAGGCAGGGCAAGGGTGCCATTGCCATGGGGCAAGGCGAGGGAGGGGTCGGGACAGCTGCTGCCTGACACCATCAGCCCCTGCACACAGAGGCCAGTGAGTGCATGGGGGCCGACAGTGTCCATCAGCAGCCACAGCTTGCCAGCCCCTCAACCGGTGCACTCTGGGGCTCCGCAGCCCACTGCCAGCAGTTCAGAGAAGCCGCCTCTGAGCTGGACGGCCAGCCGACAGCTGAGGAGGCGATGCAGTGGGTCGTGCCCGGGAAAAGGAGAGCATGCAAGACCAGGAGGGATGGGACAGGGGGGAGAGAAATCAGCCATGCCGGGATGCATCCGGCCATGTGGGACCTCGGCGAGTTAGCGGGCGGCTGGTTGAAAAGGGACTTTGCCATCTCTGGGGCATGGTGTGAGTGCCCACAGAGAGGGCTCTGAGTGCCGCCTCTGGCACGCGTGCCATAGGTTCGCCACCACTGCCCTATACTATACCTGTACATTTGGTTTTTCTTGCTTTTTTCACCATTGAATTTCATTTTGTTAGATAGCGCCCAACGTCCAAGTTCCTAGTTCCCTCAATTTAGTTCCCTCCATTTAGCCTTCAGCCCCCTAATCATTTTTTTTTGCTCTTCTCTGCACTCTAAGGTCTCATTTCTCTTTTTGTATCATGGTGACCAGAACTGGAGGCCACACAGGTTGTCCTCGACTTACAACAGTTTGTTTCAGTTACAACGGCACTGAAATGCGTGACCGGTGACCATTTTTCCTAGTTACGATCTTTGCAGCATCCCCACCCTCAGATGATCAAAATTCAAATACTTGGCAACTGGTTCATACTTATGACCGTTGTGGGTGTCCCCAGGATTATGTGTGATCCCCTTTTGTGAGTTAAACTTAGCTCATAATTAGCTGAGATTGAAGATGGCTTGTCTTTCAGCCCTGATTCTTCTTTACCTTTAATGGTTGCACTGAGGATTAAAGCAGGCGCAAAGGTATTTTATTGCTCTTAAAAGGAACTGGAAAGACTCAGAGTCCGGATACTTTCTGCATATATCTTAAAGTTATAGGCAGGAGTTCTGCTCCTAAAATACAAATTATCTTCTTTTTAATTTTTTTCTAGCAGCACTTCAGAGTTCCCACCTGTTCCAGCAAACTCCTGCTTTATGTTATACCTGCACACCTAAAGAAAAGCTGTGCTTATATATCTGTGCTTTCTGGAAGTGTTATAGGAGTGGATTGTGGCTTTCTCAATAAAAGGGAGTTTAAAAAAACATGGCTGAATGCATTAAATGCATGGATGATTGTGACACTGAAGGAAATCACTCCCCCCTCCCCAAATTTGGGTCCCTTAATGGTTTGTTAAATGCAAAGACATAAAACCTAAACTATTTTTTTTAAAAAAACTGCTTCTTTAATTTAGGGTAGCTGCCTTTACTGCTGCTGCTGCTGCTGACATTTTAAATATTAAATTTAAAACACTCTTACAAGGTGAAGTCTCCCTTTGTATAACTAGCCACTGTGTAAAAAGTATATTTAGAGAGCGCAAAAGAGTAAAGTTTCCTTCAAGTTGAATTTGATTTCTGGTGAGGTGCCTTTTTCTGGGACAGTTTTCAAAAACTTGTAAGCCGGATCCACAGCCCTGGGATCTCTTAGTGGTCTCCTATCCAACCAAGTCCAATCCTGTTTAGATTTTCAAGGCTGGCTGGCTGGCTGTGGCTCTCTTTTGGCAGCCATTCTTTTAGCTCATTATGCTTCCCTGGAAGTTGCTGATGGGTTTTGGAGTAGTCTGTCTCCCAGCAGGTCAGCTTAACCAAGGGAAAAAAACTTTTCTGCACCCGGGCATACCAAAATGGAATTTTTCTGGCAATGAAGATCTTCAGAAGAGAGCCAATTTGACGTAATGGTTACGGTACTGGGCTAGAAGCTGGGAAGCTGTGAGTTCTAGTCCTGCCTTAAATATGAAAACCAGCTGAGGGACTTAGGGTCCATCTCTCTCTCTCTCTCACCCCAATTTATCCCATAGAGTTCTTGGTGGTAGGGTTGAGTTGATTTAAAAAAATGGATTTGATAAAGAACTGCCTTGAATTAGTAAAAATAAATAAACAAACCCAATGATTAAATAAATAAATACAATTAAAGGCATTCAGCAATCCATTCTTCAACCAGGAGCAAGGTTGAGCTTCTAATAGCCCCGTTCTACTTGGGCAGAGGATGTCCCACTGACCTTCTTCCAACCATTGTGAGATAACAGTTGGAGAAGGAAGGGAAGGCATCCTATTGGCTGAAGGATGTGGGCGGAGCCCAAGGAGGCAGGTTCTATAGGACCAAAGAAGTCCACCTTCTACTCCTGGGAACGAGAGCTTGGAGACAAGGTTGAGCAGAGTTCGCAGCTTCTTGTAGCCACCATATCTTCTTCTGGTGCTCCTCCGTGGCTCCTCTTTGCTCTAATAATCTCTCTTCTTCCTCCTCCTCCTCCTCCTCCTCCTCCTCCTCCAAAACATGAGTGATTTTCACCTGGACCTTGGTCCCCTCAAAGAACCTCTAGGTTTCATCAAGCTTCTTGAGTGGGTGAGTTGGTTTCAGAAGGAGGATCCAAGCACAGCTTCCTTTGAGGAGTATTTCTGCAAACTGGAAGTGGTGGTGAAGGTGCAACCCAAAGAGCTGTGTTTGCAAGACATCCTAAACCTCAAAAAAAAAGCAGCCAACCGTAATTTAAGGGGGGGTGGATGTCTTGCAAACTCTCCTCCTTTGGGTAAATTAAGAACATTGGATTAATTCAATTTTAACAGGGAGTAAATAAATGGGTGGTAGAGATGAACAGAGTCTCTTTTGCAAAGCTTTAGTGGAATAGGATGCAAAAGGTTCCTAGGCCCAAAAGACTGCGAGGCCTGGTTTTTTCCACCTCTGCTCCAGAAATGCTCTAGTTAGTTTCTCCTTTGTTACAACAGCTTTCTTTTACTAGGCCTGGTGCAACTCTTTTTTTTTTCCTGTCTGGTCTGTAAAATTCCCTTAGCATATTAATTCTCTTTCAAGTGGGCTTCTTTTTCTAAACAACATGGCTGTTAACTTCAAAATGCTAAAATAGCAGGACAATTTCTTTTGCCACCCTCCCACTCCCACTCCTGTATATTTATTTATTTGTTAAATTTCTTTGCCACCAGTGTAAATATAACAGTAGCAAAGTAATGGAACAATAAAATAAACAAAGAAAAAGAATCCAACGAGGATGGACTAGCAGGGTGGGAGGTGGGGGTTTGCTGTCAACCTACCTGTAGTAGCCACCTCCAGTGTGCACCCCCTCCAGACCTAACCCTAATCCTTTATGTAGGAGTCTTCTTGGTATTTGTAAAAGTTTTGAAGCTTAGAACATGGTTTCAGATATACATTACGTTAAAATGGCTGCATCACACTGCACAGCTTTTTCCTCTTTTATGGCTGCCAAATATTTCTTACACAAACCAGGTTACTTATGTGGTGTGTATATACTGAGCTCTTATTTGATTGCCTATAAGCTGGGATCATGCATTACGATAGATGGGCTGTGGTGTGTTGCAGCTCCTGATAAACCATAAATAATGGTTTGTAGGCCACAGTCAGGCGCACGCATCAGGTTAAGTCAGAGCCTAACAAAATCAAGAGTCTGGCCTAGCCTGTTGTGTAAATTAGCACAGGCCAAATGATACTGTAATTTTAATTCTAGACAAATGGCTAATATGCAGCGTCATTTGATACTGGAATTGAATCCAATCGCCTGCAAAATCCAGATTAATAATTTTTTAAAAATCCAGCAAAATATCTGACATTTTACAAAAAAAACCCAAAGATCGACATTGTTGTTTCTCACTTCTACACCCTAAAGGGGGCGTTTTTAACCAACTTAGGCTGAGTTTACATCACATTTTAATCCCTTGACACTCATTAGGTTCAGTTTTAAACATGGTTTATTGGGCAAAGTACAACTGGCTGGCTTTGCCCCGCCAGCTGAACCATAGATCTTGGTGTTTAGGTTTAAATAAGATGCTAAAACCAGGGGTAGGCAATCTTGGCTCTTTTATGACTCGTGGACTTCAACTCCCAGAATTCCTGAGCCGGCATGGCTCAGCTTGGAAACCTCTCCCTTTCCCCTCAGCATGGCTGGCTCAGGAATTCTGGGAGTTGAAGTCCACGAGTCATAAAAGAGCCAAGGTTCCCCACCCCTGCCCTATATCAGGGGTCCTCAACTTTGGCAACTTTAAGACTCGTGGACTTCAACTCCCAGAATTCCTGAGCCAGCATTGCTCAGCTTGGAAACCTTCCTTTTCCCTCAGTGTGGCTGGCTCAGGAATTCTGGGAGTTGAAGTCCATGAGTCATAAAAGAGCCAAGGTTGCCTACCTCTGCCCTATATCAGAGGTCCTCAACCTTGGCAGCTTTAAGACTTGTGGACTTCAACTCCCAGAATTCCTGAGCCAGCATGGCTCAGCTTGGAAACCTCCCTTTTCCCTCAGTGTGGCTGGCTCAGGAATTCTGGGAGTTGAAGTCCACGAGTCATAAAAGAGCCAAGGTTGTCTACCCCTGTGCTAAACCAAAGCCTAACAAAAGGAATTACAGTTAACAAACAGTAGAAACCTATTTCCTATTATTATCCTGCCCTCGTCGTCTCACCTTGATTTTAAAATTTAGTCTTAAAAAAGATTTCTTGTTCATCCGCCCCACTTCCTGCTTGTTGGACCCCAAGAGTTTCTTGCTTGACGCTTTTTTTTTTTTTTTAACCCCACCTGACTTTAATTTCATTTTGGAGCCTTTTAATCATAAAAAAGAAAAACGTGATTTGGATAAGCCGGTCCCTCCTCTTGATTATCCTCGCCCTTTGCAAATAATGCCAGAACCGGAATGTTCTTTTTCTACAGCTCTTTGCGGTGCTTGCGTTTGCTTCTTGTGGCGGCTACAGAGGCGTCACTACACTTCTGGTCTCCTGTCACGGGGCGGTGAATAAAACAGTAGCAGCCTCTTTCAGTTATCCTTTCAGGTGAGTTCCTTGTGCATTTCTGGTGCCTGTATCCCATCAGGATGTAGAGGTGGTCCTTGACTTACGACACTTCGTTTAGTGACTGTTTCAAAGTTACATTGGCACTGAAAAAAGTTATTATTATTATTGTTATTATTATTATTATTGTTATTGTTATTGTTGTTGAGTTGGAAGGGACCTTGGAGGTCATCTTGTCCAACCCCTGCTCAGGCAGGAAACCCTATACCATTTCAGACAAATGGCTGTCCAGTTTCTTCTTAAAAACTTCCAGTGTTGGAGCATTCACCGCTTCTGGAGGCAGGTTGTTCCACTGGTTAATTGTTCTCACTGTCAGGAAGTTTCTCCTTAGTTCCAGGTTGCTTCTCTCCTTGATTGGTTTCCATCCGTTGCTTCTTGTCCTGCCTTCAGGCGCCTTGGAGAATAGCTTGACTCCCTCTTCTTTGGGGCAGCCCCTGAGATACTGGAAGACTGCTATCATGTCCCCCCTCGTCCTTCTCTTCATTAAACTAGACATACCCAATTCCACCCACCATTCCTTATATGTTTTAGCCTCCAGTCCCCTGATCGTCTTTGTTGCTCTTCTCTGTACTCTTTCTAGAGTCTCAACATCTTTTTTACATCGTGGTGACCAAAACTGGATGCCGTATCCCAAGTGTGGCCTTACCAAGGCCTTGTAAAGCGGTATTAACCCTTCACGTGATCAAGTGACTCATGATTATTTTTCACACTTACGACCTTTGCAGCGTCCCCAGGGTCACGTGATCAAAATTCAGACGCTTGGCAACCGGTTCATATTTATGACCATTGCAGTATCCCGGGAAGTCACGTGATCTCTTTTTGCGACCTTCTGACAAGATTCATTTAACAACCATGGTACTAAATCCGCAGCGATTAATTTAACCACGGTGGCACAAAAGATCGTAAAATGAGACAAAACTCACTTAACAAATGTCTCACTTAGCAATACAAATTTTTGGGCTCAATTGAGGCTGTAAATCGAGGACTACCTGTAGGCTGTTAGCAGGTTTTCTATTAGAATAGGTTCAGCTTTTTTGTGCACTGTGGACCCCTCTAATCTGGAGAAAAATATATTTAGCGACATAAAAAAACATAGACATTAATTGCATGACAAAGTGAATAACACATGCTTAAATACAGTTATTAAGAAATATAGATAGTCTTCCACTTACGACCACGGCTGAGCCCAAAATTTCTGTTGCTAAGTGAGACTGAGTTTTGCCCCATTTTACGACCATTCTTGCCACAGTTGTTAAGTGAATCACTGCCGTTAAATGAATAACATGGTCGTTAAGGTGAATCTGGCTCCCTAATTGACTGTGCTTGTCAGAAGGTCACAGAAGGGGATCATGTGACCCCAGGGGGACGCAGCGACCGTCGTAAATACGCGCCAGTTGCAGAGTGTGCGAATTTTGATCACGTGACCGTGGGGATGCTGCAAAGGTCGTAAGTGTGAAACATGGGGATAAGTCACTTTTTTCAGTGCCGTTGTAACTCCGAGTGGCCGGTAAATCAGTCATTGTAAATAGAGGACTGCTTGTAACATATTGTATATGTAATAGGCCAGGGGTAGGCAACCTCAGCTCTTTTATGACTCATGGACTTCAACTCCCAGAATTCCTGAGTCAGAGGAATTCTGGGAGTTGAAGTCCATGAGTCATAAAAGTTGAGGTTGCCTATCCCTGTAATAGGGTAATATATGTGCCTCTTGGCTAGCCTGTTAAATCAGTGTATCTCAAAGTGTCTCAGATGATCATCAAAAAGGGATGGGTCTTTGATCACATGATTGGGATCGCCATCTTGACTTTTTTGACCCTGTCATGGATGCCTCTGGTTGTCTTCAACATTTGAATCAGAAACCTGGGAATGTGCCTTCCTAATTATCTATTGTAAAGAAATTTGACCTTGGCTTTCCGGCTGTATAGATTTTTTTATTTTTTATTATTAATAATAATAATTATTATTATTGTTGAGGCAGTCCTCGACTTAACGATCATTCATTTAGTGACCGTTTGAAGTCACAATGGCATTGAAAAAAGTGACTTATGGCCAGTTGTCACACTTAACGACCGTCGCACCATCCGCAAGGTCATGTGATCAAAATTCAGGTGCTTGGCAACTGGCATGTACTTAATGACAGTTTTCACTCTCCCAGGATCCTGTGATCCCCTTTCATGAACCTTCCCAGCTGGCTTCCAACAAGCAATGGAGGAAGCCAGATCCGCTTAACGACGCTTAACGACCTCACGCTTCCCTGAAATGCAGTGATCTGCTTAACAACTGTGTCAAAAAAGGTCCTAAAATGGGGTGCAACTCCCTAAACAACTGTCCTGCTTACCCAGTAAGGATGTTGGGCTGAATTTTGGTCGTAAGTGGAGGACTCCTTGTACCTTTTCAGAAGAGTAGGCGAGCTGGATCCTTCTGAGACCGTCTCCAACTTCTGTTTCTGCAGGTTGAACACCGCTGTGTTTACTTCGCCAGATCCCACCCGATGCAACGGCACCTGGACGGATTTCTACCTGGTGGGAAATTTCTCCTCTTCGGCCCAGTTCTTTGTCACCTTTGGAGTCCTGATCTTCTTCTATTGCATGACAGCCCTGGTGTTTTACCTGGGCTATATGCACGCCTACCGGAATGGTAGCAATTTCCCAATGATCGTAAGTCGCTGAGATTTCAGGTTGGGTGATAAGAAGAGGACAATTTGATAGCTTTGACGTCAAGAGCAATGTCAGATGTCAAGACCGCTAACATCGGATGTTCTTGCTTGCCCTATGTGAAGAAGCAAACACGTTTTATTTAGCCTGCATATCACTTCTAGAGTTAAAGCAGACAATACTAGCCTAGTGGATGGGAAAATATGCTAGTTAACCATAACAATATTTCAGCACAGCACTGCCAAGGTCAGCTGTAACAGGAGGAGTAGGGGACAATTCACACTTCACACTAATTGGAGAATGTGATTGATGACTGTAAAATGAAGGAGTGAGTTATGCTTTGTTACGGGTGATTGGGGGAGGGAGGGTTCAGTTTTTGGCTTCACTATTGTACGTGCGGAAGCTATGTAGCGACAAAAGGATTCTTTAAGGAAAATAAGCCTCACAGTTCTTTGAAAGGCTGCTTCTTTTCGGAACCATGACATCAGGTTTACTGTTTGTAAATCAATGTCATGTCATGGGTGCACTGATGTTGTTACCTACTTGGGATAATGAAACATCTGCAAGAAAGCCACCCAGCTCAGAGAGCACCAAGGACCCCTCAATCAGAACTGAGGAAGCTTCTGGGATGAGAAGAGAAACGTCTTCAAGGAAAAAAACCCAAGAAAGTCCAGTATTGAAAAAGCACCTTTGGGACAGCCGTGATCTGCATGACAGAGAATCTCCACAGACTATTTTAGAAGTCTTATTTCATATGAACCGTTGGCCAGCATATTCAACTAACCCTATTCAAAATCTTCCTTTCAAAAGTTTAATTTTAATTTTAAAGTGTGATTTTTGAATTCCCATTTGCCGCGTGGAGTGCACACTGGTTTCCTTCATGAACTTTCCTTTAAAAAAAGAAAAAAAGAGCATTTTGTAGTCCTATCAAACTGTCCCAAAGATGCTTTTTCAGGAGGCAAGTGGACTTTTTTGTTTGTCTTTGAAGACGTTTCGCTTCTCATTCCAGAAGCTTCCTCAGCTCTGATTGAGGGATCCTTGGTGCTCTCTGAGCCTCGGGGTTTTCTTGCAGATGTTTCATTATCCCAAGTGGGTTGACAACATCAGAGCTGAAGAAGCTTCTGGGATGAGGAGCGAAACGTCTTCAAAGAAAAATAAGAAAGTCCAGTTGCCTCATGAAAAAGCACCTTTGGGATAACGATGACCTGGAGGACTGGGAATCTCCACAGACATTGAGGAAACCAAATGCTTCAAGTTCCCTGAAAAACAAATCTCTAAAAAAGGAGATATTTCCAGAAGTTTCTGTCCATAGGTTCTGCCTCCATGGCTGGCTGGAGAATTCTGGGAGTTGAAGTCCACGTACCTTCAAGTTGTCAAAGTGGGGAAACGCTTCCCCTATGTTCTCTTCAGTTTCATAGCTATATACCAGGGGTCTTCAAACTTGGCCCTTTGATGACTGGTGGACTTCAACTCCCAGAATTCCTGAGCCAGCATAGCTCAGCTTGGAAACCTCTCCCTTTCCCCTCAGCGTGGCTGGCTCAGGAATTCTGGGAGTTGAAGTCCACCAGTCATAAAAGGGCCGAGGTTGCCTACCTCTGGCCTAGGCCTAGGCCACTTTATGACTCGTGGACTTCATCTCCCAGAATCCCTGAGCCAGCCATGCTGAGGGGAAAGGGAGAGGTTTCCAAGCTGAGCCATACTGGCTCAGGAATTCTGGGAGTTGAAGTCCACGAGTCTTAAAGTTGCCAAGGTTGAGGACCCCTGATATAGGGCAGGGGTGGGGAACCTTGGCTCTTTTATGACTTGTGGACTTCAACTCCTAGAATTCCTGAGCCAGCCATGCTGAGGGGAAAGGGAGAGGTTTCCAAGCTGAGCCATGCTGGCTTAGGAATTCTGGGAGTTGAAGTCCACGAGTCATAAAAGGGCCAAGTTTGAAGACCCCTGTGATACACAAAGTTCTTGACTTAAAATAGCTCATTTTAGTGACTCAAGCTGCAACAGCACTGAAAAAAGTGATTTATGACCCTTTTTCTCACGTCATGACCGTTGCGGCATCGGTCACGTGATCAAAATTCAGACGCTTGGCAACTGACTCATGTTTAAGACGGTTGCAGTGTCCCTGGGGTCACGTGATCCCCTTTTGCGACCATCTGACAAGCAAAGTCAATGCGGGAAGCCAAACTCACTTCACAACCTTGTTACTAAGTGAACAACTGCCAACGATTCACTTCAAAATACTATGGCAAGAAAGGTCATAAAATGGAGCGAAATTATCTTAGCAAATGCCTCGCTTAACAACATATTTTGGGCCCAGTTGAGGCTGTAAGTTCTGTAATCTGAAGGTTTGACCCATAAACAAAACGGATTAACTTCTCTCTCTTGGTCTCCAGGATTACGTTTTCACTCTCATTGCGGTCTTCCTGTGGCTAGTCAGCACCGCTGCCTGGGCCAAGGCCCTGGTTGATATCAAAGTATCAACCGGTCCCCGCGTTGTGGACGTAATACCGGCATGCAAAATTCTTGGATCGTCCTGTGTCTTTGCTTCTGTAACCAGCATGGGAAGTCTGAATGTGTCTGTGGTATGTACAGTATGTCAACTATGGTTTTAACAGCGTGGATATATTTGTTCCATTAAAAGAGTATTTGTAGCTCAAGGTTAAATTGTGTGGTTTTGGGTGTGCTCTGAGCTTGGGTTATTTTCTTGCAGATGTTTCATTACCCAGCTAGGTAAGGTGAGAGCAAGCCTCACACTCTTCCAGCACTGATGATGTTGCCTAGTTTCGCAATGAAATGTCTGCAAGAGAACAGCCAAGCTCGGAGAGCACCAAGGACCTCCATATATATCTATTCATCAAATAGTTCACAGGTTAGGGTCAGAAAAATCAAGATGGTAGCTTCAGTCGTGCGACTGAGGTTCCATCTGTAGATAGATAGATAGATAGATAGATAGATAGATAGATAGATAGATAGATAGATAGATAGATAGATAGATAGATAGATAGAGATAAAAGGTAGGTAGATAAGGTAGGTAGATAAGGTAGGTAGATAGATAGATAGATAGATAGATAGATAGATAGATAGATAGATAGATAGATAGATAGATAGATAGATAGTGTAACACCCATAAAAAACAGACTACGATCACACCACTGTGACTAATATCTTGACCTTTTTGACCAAATCCAGCAGGCAGCCCTGACTATAACTAAGTTAGTGCAACTCGGGGAAAGCTGACTATGAAACATAAGAACTGTGAACAAAACAGTGGCTTACTGGGTAATAAGGCTAAAAGGGGGCGATGTTTATTGTTTCAAAATGCTAATCTTAAAATGAAGTTGAAGCTGGCTGTGGAATTCTGGGAACTGAAATCTACCCATCTTAAAGTTGCCAAGGTTGAGACACAATGTTCTAGAAAGTTCACGATCCCGGAAGCCTATCTCCAATTTGGTGGCTGTAACATAGAGGTGTACCTCTCTAGAAAAATAGGCCTTCATACATGCCTCAGATCTTTAAACTGAGCGAGGATATAGAATGTCTTTTCATTGTCCTACTAAAAATGATATAAAGTATGGATTGATTCAGTTAAAACGTCAGACTAATTAAGATCTCTGTTCTTGCAGGTTTTTGGCTTGGTAAATATGATTCTGTGGGGCGGAAATGCTTGGTTTGTATACAAGGAGACGAGCCTGCACAAACCTAACAGTAATTCTCCAAAATCAGGGTTCTATCCACCAACATCAGGAATCTGATTTAATGCTAAAATGGCCGTGTTTCACTTTGTTGACAAGTCTGAATATTTCTGTATTTCAAAATAGTTTATGATTAACTTTCACACATGTACAATTTGGGGGAGAAAACGCCTGGTGTATGTAGGAAATGAGTATTTTGAAAGGATTTATTTACTTCATTGAATAGTCTAGTGTCAAATGCTTGGATAACGTTGCCATCTTAGAAAAAAATCTTTTGGGCATAATACATTTCGGTTGTAATAATAAACTACATTTGACAATTCTTGCCTGTATAATCATACTCACGTTATACTGTACTTACATTTTGTCCTAAAGAGAGACTTAAAATAATTGTTGCTTAGGATTTGGCAGATTTACTGTCTGTTTAAACAGTTGCCTGATTTAAAAAAGTTTCCTCCACATCAGAAAGTCCTTTTTTTTTTGTATTTGTGATTTCAGTGTAATTGTTCAACTGCTACTATATAAAAAAAAAGTTTGGCTACAGCTTGAATACTCTGTGATTAATAACTGAGGTAAATCTAAATGTTTGAGCTGATCGACAGACGATCCCCAGTGACCTATTTTAAATTGGAAAAGTTCTCCCTGATCTTGAGAACGCAACTTATGCCCAGGGAAGGATGCAAGTCTTAAGAAAGCTTTAATTACTTCGACGTTTGACTGCTTAAACACGGATGCTTAATGTTTTTGAGCATTGTCTCTGACATGTACTGCTGTACGTTAGATTCGGTTCAGCTTAATAAACTGACATTTCTAGAAATTGGGCCCGTTGTCCTGAAAATATTGTTCAGTAAGCAGATCCTTGAAAAACCTAAAGCAGTTTTATTCTGTGGAGATTCTCAGTCATCCAGGTCACAATTATCCCAAAGAGGTTTTTTCATGAGGCAACTGGACTTTCTTGTTTTTCTTTGAAGACGTTTTGCTTTTCATCCATGAAGCTTCTTCAGCTCTGAAGACCCCTGCTATACACAAAGTTCTTGACTTAAAATAGCTTTTGTTTTCACTCAAGAGCAGTGTTTCTCAACCTCAGCAACTTTGAAGATGTGTGGACTTCAACTCCCAGAATTCCCCAGCCAGCATTGACTGGGGAATTCTGGGAGTTGAAATCCACATGTCTTAAAAGTTGCTGAGGCCTAGAAACAGAGAGCGTTTCCCCCTTGCAGTTATTTATTAGATTTATATCTTGCCTTTTTGGCTGGTTATCGATTGAATAAATATTATTCTATCCTGCCTGTTGTGCAGGAGCTCAAAAAAATCTTATTTTTTCTTCAAAGTAGCAACCTTGTGAAGACATTTCGCTTGAGACTTAATAGGCCCAAAGTCATCCAGTGGGCTTTCCTGGCTGAGAGTTGGCTAGAATTTGATTTTTCCTTCTTCGGACTCAACATCCGAACTCAACATGCTTGAGGCTCTTAAGATGTTGAGAGTCTAGAAAGAGTGCTGAGAAGAGCAGCAAAGATGATTAGGGGGCTGGAAACATACAAAGAATAGTTGCTGGAATTGGGTATGTCTGGTTTAATGAAAAGAAGAAACTGGACAGACATTTGTCCGAAATGGTATAGGGTTTCCTGCCTGAGCAGGGGGTTGGACTAGATGACCTCCAAGGTCCCTTCCAACTTCATCATCATCATCATCATCATCATCATCATCATCATCATCATCATTATTATTATTATTATTATTATTATTATTATTATTATTATTATTATTATTATTATTCTGTGGCTTGTCAGTGCTGTATCAGTGGAGTCATCGCCCCTAGCTGGGGGTATCAGAAAAGCCAAAATGGCTTCCAGAACCACAGGATTGCACTCCTACCACCCTTTAAGTGTCTCACAAAGTCAACACAGGCTGAACAGTTCCTGTTCAGGTCTTTGACATCCAAAGTCCCTTGCTCTGTTGTGTAGGGCAGGGGTCTGCAACCTTGACAACTTTTAAGATTTGTGGACTTCAGCTTCCAGAATTCCTCAGCCAGCTATGCTTAAATCTAAAAAATGTCCACTTAGACATTAGTCCCCATCCCTTACCAAGCTTACGCAACCTTGGCTCTTTTATGCCTCGTGGACTTCAACTCCCAGAATTCCTGAGCCAGCATGGCTCAGCTTGGAAAGCTCTCCCTTTCCTCTTAGCACGGCTGGCTCAGGAATTCTGGGAATTGAAGTCCACGAGTCATAAAAGAGCCAAGGTTGCCTACCCCTGCCTTAGACATTTGAAAATGGGTAATTTCATTTGTAGAGGAAGCTTTATCATTCCACTAGGCGTCACTGTTGTATTAAAAAGGTCTTTAAGAGGCTGGAATGTCTTACTACCCACCCTTCCATCCGTAGCAAGTATTTACAAGTTCAAAAACTATCGGGTCTTTTTAAGGGAATCAGATACAGTAGTAGGACCTCAAAGCCAGCACATTGAAAGAGGAGATATTATTGAGATATGTTGAGACTCTAGAAAGAATACAGAGGAGCAACAAACATGAGGCTAAAACATATATAAGGAACGGTTGCTGGAATTGGGCATGTCTAGTTTAATGAAGAGAAGGACGAGGGGGGACATGATAGCGGTCTTCCAATATCTCAGGGGCTGCCCCGAAGAAGAGGGAGTCAAGCTATTCTGCAAAGCACCTGAAGGCAGGACGAGAAGCAACGGATGGAAACTCAACAAGAAGAGAAGCGACCTAGAACTAAGGAGAAACTTCCTGACAGAACAATTAACCAGTGGAACAACCTGCCTCCATAAGCGGTGAATGTTCCAACATTGGATGTTTTTAAGAAGAGACTGGACAGCCATTTGTCCGAAATGGTATAGGGTTTCCTGCCTGAGCAGGGGGTTGGACTAGAAGACCTCCAAGGTCCCTTCCAACTCTTCTATTCTATTCTATTCTATTCTATTCTATTCTATTCTATTCTATTCTACTATTCTATTCTACTGTACTGTACTCTACTCTACTGTACTCTACTCTTCATTATTCTACTCTACTCCACTCCATCTATTCTATTCTATTCTATTCTATTCTATTCTATTCTATTCTCTGGGTTAAAGACATATTAAGCCCAGACCTTGTTTTTAAGACTGATTTTGGTATTTTGGATATATTTTGGGAGAGGGGATGGGAGACCTGCGTTGGGGAGTGGGGGAAGGTGATTGGTTACGCAGAGGTTCTTCCTTTCCCTTCTGCAGTTTTACGTTGCCATTTGGGAGACTTCCCATTTTTTTGTCTAAGGCTGCTGATTCCAGTTGATTTTGTCTTCTGGTTGCATCATCTGTTCGGACTAGGTCACCCGTCTGACCATTCTTTGGAGGTGTCTTCTGCTTAAGATCTCCTTGACTACCCCCAGATTCAGCCTCTGCTTTGGGTAGATCCTTTTCACCACTTTTTGGAGATCTCGGCTTCTGTTTGAGATTCCCTTCCCCGCCACTAGTAGTGGTAGCCTCTGCTTTAGACAGATTGCCTTCACCACTCTTGGGGGGAGTTGTTATTTGCACAACGGAGTCCTTCCCTTCGGTCTTGGAAAGCACGTTGGTGTCTTTCCATCTTCGCGCCCCGGATTTTGAGTTGTATTCATACACTTTGCCGGTGACTGTGGAAGAAAAGATTAATGTAAGCATTCATTTTTCAGAGCGGAAGGGATGCAATTACTTAGGATGGTTTGTTTGACTTGTAATCCGCCATAATCTGACAGGATTCCTAGCAGCTAACAACAAAATACATAAGGCAAAATGCCCATGGCAATATAAGTAGTATATTCACCTGACCAAACTCAAAGCAAAATCAACAAAGAAAAACCTAAACCTCCATTTTAAACCACCTTCTGAAATGGGATACCAAGGAGATAGCAATAGCAGTCACACTTAGACTTATATACCGCTTCACAGTGCTTTACAGCCCCCTTTAAGCTGTTTAGAGAGTCTTGCCCCCAACAATCTGGGTCCTCGTTTTACCGACCTCGGAAGGATGGAAGTCAACTTTGATCTCAATGGGAAATAAGCTTGTCTAAAGAACAGGTGTCACAGAAAAACGACTTTTCTGCGTTTCCTCTTGTGGGAGATGAAAATATAGCCCCCTCCTCATATAACAAGATGAGGCTGGAGCAATCCTGAGATAGGCCCCACAGTAGTGATTTAAAACAAAGCCTTAACTCAAACTCTATATTGTTTCACAATGCGGACGTACTATTTGTAATCTGATGAGCTTTGTGCAATATGAAAGTGCAAAGTAGGCAGTTCTGTGTATATTTAGAACATGAGGACTGGAACAGTAAGAAATAGGGAACTGAAAGTAGCTGATGGATGCGGGTTCCAATGTACACGGGTCTATGTGGAAAGTTATGTTCGGCAGAAGTCAGCAAAAGTCAGCGGACCATCTGACTACAGTCTTAGAACGGGAAAGAGTATAAAGCAGACATGTCAAACACAAGGCCCGGGGGCCGGATGCGGCCCGCAAAGTGGTTTCATGTGGCCCGCGAAGCCATCCTGGAAACAGTGAGGGAACGGCCCCCCGCTGCCTTGGCCCTGGCCCAGTCCGGCCGGGAGCCAATGTACAATTTTGTGGTGGCCATCTATGCTGAAACGCATTCAGTCTTAGCTCTGCAAGACTGTCTGAAAACAGCGAGGGACCAGCCCCTGCCGCGTCGGCTCCATCCCCTGGGTGCATGCTGGGGAGGTGTCACCCTTTGTGAGGAATGAAGAAATGGACCATGCCTTGGCGCTTGCCCCGGTCCCACCCCCTTCTTCCAGAGACCCTCAGATCTGTCCCACTCCTGCCCAGGCCCCCACAGGCACCCTTGACGTGAACGATGTAGAGCTGGCCATGCCCACCCAGTAGGCCACACCCACTCCAGCCACGCCCACCCAGTAGGCCGCACCCACCCTGGCCACACACCCTCGAGGGACACCACAATGCTGATGAGGCCCTCAATGAAATTGAGTTTGACACCACTGGTATAAAGGGTTGGGACTGGACCTGATTGATTTGCCATTGGCCTATAGCTGTCCTTTTGGAATCTGTTAGCTATGCCATTGGGTTATTAATGTAAGTGATGTTGTGTTATTATGCCTGCTATGTTCCAAACTATTAGCAAAATAAACCTCTGAATCTTTAAAGTAGGCATTATTGTTTTGTGCTGCTGTCTCTCGTCTTTTTTCCATTGGGTTTTTCCACGACAATCTCCTTGACCTTACAAGACTGGGGTACAATCAACAGTTTTTCCTGCAACAATGAAATGGACTCAAAGGTGCTTTTCCAAAAGGCAACTGGACTCTCTTGGGGTTTTTTTTTCTCCCCCATGAAAACGTCTCGCTTCTCATCCGAGAAGCTGCTTCGGTTCCGGAAGTTCCAGAAGTTCAGGAAATTCAGTTTTCAGCAGAACGGAAGAAGCTTCTTGAATGGGAGCGAAATGTTTTCAAGGGGGAAAAAACACACACAAAAGAATCCAGTTGCCTTTTGGGAAAGCACCTTTGGGACAACCATGACCTGGATTATCTCCATAAATCAAGTTGACCATTTAGAGCAAGGGGTCTTCAAACTTGGCCCTTTTATGACCTGTGGACTTCAACTCCCAGAATTCCTCAGCTAGCGTGCCTGGCTGAGGAATTCTGGGAGTTGAAGTCCACAAGTCATAAAAGGCCCAAGTTTGAAGACCCCTGCTTTAGAGAATGTGGTCCTGTAATGCTCTGTGAGAATCTCACCCTCCTTTAGGAATTATAATACCTGGGTCTATGGCTTCCCCATCAAAGACAGGATTTAAGTTGGTCATTTCCTAAAAGAAGACAAACAAAAGGCTAAATTTAATACCGTTAATTAAAGAAATGAGGGGGGGGGAAGCTGTCCAGTAGGGAATCAAGGCGAATTCTACAATCTGCTGGTTGTATTAAAACTTAGTTAGCATAGAGTTGCTTACTTGAAGACGGAAAATTAGAGAATTTGAGGGACCATTCTTTTGGAGAATACATTAAGCTCTTTGCTTTCATATTTAATTTATATTCAATTTATATTCTTTCGTGTACATAGAAGACAACAAAAGAAGGTCACCATCCCGGAATGTGGCAACTAGGAAGTGACTTCTTGTTTAGGGTGATTTCTAACACTAGGAAACCTTGCAAATTGGACTAAAATGTGAATTTTTAAACAGGATCTAGGAAGACAAAAAGGAGATGCAGCTCTACTTTGATTTTTGTGCTGTTTTTCACTGTCAGCTGCTTTTTTTTGGGGGGGGGAGGATATATATATATATATTGTAAAAATAAATGATCTAGATTAAGCAGGAAGACTTACAATAATTACCGTGGTCCTTTCCAGGCTTTAATTTTAATATGAGCCAGAATAAATGCTGGCGTCATAATATGCTCATCCTAAGTAGGCAAAGATTCTGTAATTTTTTTAAATTTTTTCTGTTTCAGGTTTAAAGCACACTTACCCATATCACTTCTTTCTTTGCTTTCTTCTTTTCTGTCAATAAAAAAAACAACACGCTGCTTTATCTAACCGTCAGCTTTATGAAATGAACAAGAGTTGAAAGAATCAAATCAAATTACACCCTTAATTACAGGATGCCAACCTGGACTAAATAGTACTTACGTACTACATAAAACCAAAAGTGGAAGATATGATATAGTCAGGTAACAAAATGTCTGCCACCAATCAACCAAGTTCAGAGAGCACCAAGGACTTCACCTTTCAAGCCATATATTCTACATAAATAAGGCAGTCCTCGGTTTACAACCTGTCACTTAGCAACTGCAACTATTCATAGCTAGGAAAGACCTTAAAAAGTAGCTAGAAACTGGCTCTGAAGTTCTTATGGCCCTACACCAGTCATGTGACCAATCTTGGGCACCTGTTTGTTCGTAGCCCGCTTTTATTATTTTTATAAATAACTATCATCATACCGAATACTCCTCCCTCCTCCTATTTTCCCCATAACAACAATCTTGCGAAGTAGGTTGGGCTGAGAGAGAGTGACTGGCCCAAAGTCACCCAGCTGGCTTTGATGGCTAAGGCGGGACTAGAACTCTCCGTCTCCTGGTGATTGGCCCAAAGTCACCCAGCTGGTTTTTATGGCTAAGGCAGGACTAGAACTCACTGTCTCCTGGTGATTGGCCCAAAGTCACCCAGCTGGCTTTGACGGCTAAGGCAGGACTAGAACTCTCTGTCTCCTGGTGATTGGCCCAAAGTCACCCAGCTGGCTTTGACGGCTAAGGCGGGACTAGAACTCTCTGTCTCCTGGTGATTGGTCCAAAATCACCCAGCTGGCTTCATGGCTAAGGCGGGACTAGAACTCTCCGTCTCCTGGTGATTGGCCCAAAGTCACCCAGCTGGCTTTCATGGCTAAGGCGGGACTAGAACTCTCTGTCTCTTGGTGATTGGTCCAAAATCACCCAGCTGGCTTCATGGATAAGGCGGGACTAGAACTCTCCATCTTCTAGTGATTGGCTCAAAGTCACCTAGCTGGCTTTCATGGCTAAAAGTACTTGAACTCGCATTCTCCTGCTTTCTAGCCTGGTTCCTTAACCACTAGACCAAACTGAATCTTACTCGGTGACCAGCCCACATTTACAGCCACTTGCAGTGTCCATATGACCACCATTTCCAACATTTTTGCCAAAACTCAGAGTTTACTTCGGGTTTTCAGCAAAAAAAAAAAACCAAAAACCCAGCCCCAGAGCAAACAATGAGTTCATTTAATGATTGCTGCAAAACAAGGTCATAAAATGTGATCGGTCACATGGATGACCTGCTTTACAACCATCATGGCTTACCGATGCTCCGGTACCGTCGTAAGTCGAGTACTACTTGTATTCTCTTCTATTTGATTTTAAACTCTATGATCCTAGGTCAGATTGCAACTAAAACCATACGTCGTTTGAAAACCTGAGGTCTCAATGTGGCAGTGTTTTAAGCAGGGCTTTTTTTTCTCATAGAACGCCCAGAACGGAGTTCCGGCACCTTTTTTGGATGGAACCTTGTAGGGTAGGCAAGGCGGGTTGTATGACGTGTGTGATTTCCGGCACCTTTTTTTTTTTTTTTTAGAAAAATAGTACTGGTTTTAAGAACAAGGAAAGCAAGACAAGAAAGAACGTACCTGGCACGTGCAACCTGTCATAAATTAAAAAAGAGAATTTATTACAATAATGTTCATTAAGCAATACAGTAAACAAAGATGAACTGAAAAGCATTGACAGCAATGACTTCAAATTTTGGAGGGCTGCTCGAATACCATTAAGTAATGTGGATTCTTTGTGTGAGTATTGCAGAACAAAAGGAGATGGATGCACGTGGCAAACATGTTTTTATTAATAATTGCATTATCATTTGCATTTTTTCTTGAAGCTACTCAACGAGGACCCAGATTGTTGGGGCCAAGACACCGACTGTGTAAACTGCTTTGTCAATTTTAAATCTTAGAGAAGGCTGTAAAGCAGAGGCATCCAATCTTTTCGTTTTGGCGTCCCGGAAAGGGAGGCAAGCACCGCTACGTGTGCGCGTGCAAATGGGCTGCGTGCATGCACGCGGAAAAATAATCCCTGCGCGTGCATGCACAAATGGGGTGTGCATGGGCGCATGCGCACATGCAAATGGCCACACGCGGGCGCATGCGCAAATGCAAATGGGGCTGTGCGGGCACGAGTGCTGCAAATGGGGTGGTGCTAGTGGTGGCGGGACGCTCGGGCAGCGCTGGCAGGATGCTCAGAGTGGCACTAGTGCTGGTGGGACACTTGGGGCGGGGTGGTGCTAGCGCCGGCGGGATGCTCGGGGTGGCACTAGAGCGAGTGTGGGGTGGTGAGTGCACGCCTGTGTGCAGGTGCACTGGCCAGCCCTTCACGCGGCCCGGTGGCGAAGCGGCCACGGCCCACAGGTTGGGGACCCCTGCTGTAAATCACTGTGGGAGATGAAAATATAGCCCCCTCCTCATATAACAAGATGAGGCTGGAGCAATCCTGAAATAGGCCCCACAGTAGTGATTTAAAACAAAGCCTTAACTCAAACTCTATATTGTTTCACAATGCGGACGTACTATTTGTAATCTGATGAGCTTTGTGCAATATGAAAGTGCAAAGTAGGCAGTTCTGTGTATATTTAGAACATGAGGACTGGAACAGTAAGAAATAGGGAACTGGAAGTAGCTGATGGATGCGGGTTCCAATGTACACGGGTCTATGTGGAAAGTTATGTTCAGCAGGAGGTCAGCAGGAAGTCAGTAGAAAGTCAGCAAAAGTCAGCAGAAGTCAGCAAAAGTCAGCAGACCATGTGACTACAGTCTTAGATCGAGAAAGGATATAAAGAAGGGGTGTCAAACTCAATTTCACCGAGGGCCGCATCAGCATTGCGGTTGCCCTTGGGGGGCCGGGTGGGTGTGGCCAGAGTGGGTGCAGCCTGCTGGGTGAGTGTGGATGGTGTGAGTACGGCCTACTGGGTGGGCGTGGCCAGTTCTACATCATTCGCGTCAAGGGCGCCTGTGGGGGCCTGGGCAGGAGTGGGACAGATCTGAGGGTCTCTGGCAGAAAGGGGTGGGATCGGGCAAGTGCCAAGGCATGGTCCACCGGGGCAAGTGCCAAGATGGCCATCACAAAATTGTACATTGACTCTCGGCTGGCCTGGGCCAGGGCCAAGGCAGCGGGGGGCGTTCCCTCACTGTTTCCAGGATGGCTTAGCGGGCCACAAGAAACTACTTCGCGGGATGCATCCGGCCCCCGGGCCTTGTGTTTGACATGTCTGATATAAAGGGTTGGGACTGGACCGGATTGATTTGCCATTGGCCTATAGCTGTTCTTTTGGAATCCGCTATGCTACATGGTCCTCATTGCAACGGGTTATTAATGTAAGTGATGTTGTGTTATTACGCTTGCGACATTCCAAATCCTTAGCAAAATAAACCTCTGAATCTTAAAGTAGGAACGATTGTTTTGTGCTGCTGTCTCTTGTCTTTTCCATTGGGTTTTTCCACGCCAGCTCTATGAAGCGGTATATAAGTCTAAGTGCTATTGCTAGTGCTACTTACAGTGGCTTTGTGTCCGGTTTGGGTCTTGGTGGGCAACAGGAACGGAGGTATTTCGCCAGCAAAACGGTTAGGTATCCAAGCAATCCGAGCAACAATAAACTGCCAAGGAATATGAAGAATGGCACATACCAAGCCGACACAGCATAGACGTTTTCTTTGCTGGTCACAATGGTAACACCAGGCTTGCAAGGAAGAAAAAAAATGGGGGTGGGAAACAAAATTGTTCTTAATGAGTAGCCCAAAAGACCCAGCGGCCTCAGAAGAAAAAACAGCAGTCATCTACAACAGGGCTTTTCAACCAGTAGTACGGGTACCACCTGCGGTACATTGGCACCTGGCAGGTGGTAAGCGACCATCCTAGAAAAGTGGTAGCGGCGGAGGGGAATGAGCTGAACCGGTGGCAGCACCGCACAAGCCTGAGCGAGAGACGGCTGGAGCCGCAGGGCTGTCAGGGCTCAGCGAAAGCGCCAGGATCAGCGCCAGGATCCAGCTGATCTGTGCTTCTTCAGGGCTGTCAGGGCTCAGTGGAAACGCCAGGATCAGCGCCAGGCTCCAGCTGAGCCCTGAAGAAGCACCAATCAGCTGGAAAGCAGCACTGATCCTGGCTCTTCTGCTGAGCCCAGAAGAAGCACCGATCAGCTGGAATGTTGCAGCATCTCCAGGGTCTTGTGATTTACCTTCAGATCCTTGGCAACTGATTCATATTTATGACGGTCACAGTGTCCCAGGGTCATGCGAAGTGACCAAAACCTGCTGCAACTACCCAGCAGACGGGGGTAATAAAAACCAAACACCCCCCCCACCCCACCCCTGCTGCCAATCCTCAACAGAAATGCTCACAACAATGAAAACCTCGGACAGGAGGAAGAGCACCGCCAGGCGGGCAGGCAGGTGTCTTGCTCGGTTGTGGCTCGGGGGGCACTTTTTTCAGTGCCATTGTAACTTCAAACAGTCACTAAGCGAACTGTTGTAAGTCGAGGACTACCTGTACTTTATCACTTTTTTCCTTTTTTTTTTTTTTTGGTCATCAAGTTTTTGACACCTTGCTAGGCGACTGGTGGTACTCGGATGTTGCCGTATCCTAAAAGTGGTACAATGGGTGAAAAGGTTGAAAAGCCCTGATCTACAACATACAGTGCAAGGACTGTAACACTACATAGGACAAACAGGCAGAAGACTAGCAGACTCCAACCATGAACACCAATGAACACGGAGAAGACGTGATGGAAATTCCTTAATTTCACAAAACACGGACGTAGTTTCCATGGAAAACTTGTGAGCATCCTAGTCGAAGCAAAATCCCAAAAAGGCTAGAGAATTCCCGGAAGCCTGACTAATCGGCCATCAACAGATACACAGAGATAATCAACATCTACATGCCACTTAAAAAAGATAATTAAAAAAACACAAAGGAAACAAAAAAATTGAGTACAGATAGTCCTCGCCTTATAACAGTTCATTTAGTGATTGTTCAAAGTAACGACAACACTGAAAAAAGTGACGTGACCATTTTTCACACGACTATTGCCACATCCCCACGGTCACGTGATCAAAATTCAGATACTTGGCAACTGACTCATATTTATGACGGTCGCAGCGTCCCGGGGTCACGTGATCCCTTTTGCGACCTTCTGACAAGCAAAACCAATGGGGGAAAGCAGATTCCCTTAACAACCGTGTTACTATCTTAACAACTGCAATGAGTCACTTAACAACTGTGCCAAGAAAGGTTGTAAAATGGGGGCAAAATTCACTTAACAACTGTCTGTCTTAGCAGCAAACATTTTGGGGCTTAATTGCCGTCTTAAGTCAAGGGCTACCTGTATATTATTATGACAGTACTGTCAATAAATCAATCAATAAGTCCTACTGTCAGCATATCATTTTCATCCCAAATTATATTTTATTTATAAAAGCCCAAACTTACGGTTGTAGGAATCACGGTAGTTGGATCTGGAATAACTCGAACGGTTAGTTTGACTGTGCCGTTTTCAACATGGACTGAGGTTCTTTCAGAACTTGTTAACAGATTATCATCTGTTATTGAAACCAACAGCCGATATTCCCAAACTGTGTCCATTCCCGACATATAATCAAATGGGTTGATCAGGACCAATCTGGAGATATTGGAACCAGCCTTTGGTGAGAAGTCAAAATGGTTATTCACGTTACCTAAAAGCAGAGCCAAAGGGGGGGGGGGAATTGTGAAAAGAGAAATGAAGACAGCTGGTAGTTTAATTCACTGGGAGATGGTGAATATGAGGAATGGTGGTGGGAGCTGGGAATGTCTAGTCTAGCAAAGAGAATGACTTGGAGTGACATAATAACTGTTTTCCAATATTTGAGGGGCTGTCACAGAAAAGAAAGGGTCAGCCTATTGTCCAAACCACCTGAAAGCAGGACAAGAATAAACGGATAGAAGCTTATCAAGGAGAGAAGCAACCTAGAACTAAGGAGAAATTTCCTGACAGTTAGAACAATTAACCAGTGGAACAGCCTGCCTCCAGAAGTTGTGGGTGCTCCAACACTGGAGCTTTTCAAGAAGAGACTGGACAGCCATTTATCTGGAATGGTATAGGGCAGGGGTCTCCAACCTTTTGGGATTGGCGGCCCAGTGGGAGAGGGAGGGGCAGGCGCCTTACACATGAATGTGGCACCTCTGTGAGGCTTGTGACATCACTGCCACGAGGCTTGTGGCATTGCTACCACCGCGGCCTGCAGCAATGCCGCCCCCAGTGGGAGGTTCTTGTTGCTACCCCGCACAAGGATCACTCCATGGCCACCTGATGCTTGTGGCAGTGCCGCCACCTCCATATGTTTCATGGCAACACCACCCACCTGCCACTCACGGTGCTGCTGCCCCACGCACAACATTCATGGCAACACCACCTCCCGTGCGATACTAGTGGCGCTGCCACCTCCCGCACAACACTTGCGGCAACGGTGGCACGAGGGGGGGGTGAGCACGCGCATACGCGTGTGCACTGCCTAGCTACTCATGAGGCCAAGAGGCCACAGCAAGTGGTGGGATTCAAATATCTGAACAATCAGTTCTCTTATTGGATGTGGGCCTGGGCCTCCGAGGCCTAGAATAGACTTCCAAAAGTGGCATCCACGCACTTCTGGTGGGCCATTCTAGGCTTTGCCTCTGGGCTGGACTTACTTGCACTGCTCCAAGGGGCCGGCGAGCTGCAGCTACTGCCAAACACCGTCAGTCCCTGCGGACTCACAGTTGCTTGTGCTGGTTATGCCCACCCTCTGCGCTTATTTTTGTGGTAGGCCTTATATTAGGGGAAACACGGTACCACTGGGCCCCAAAGTAGCCACCAATTCTGAAACCCACATGACATGCCTTATATATTCTAACAGCAACTAAAGACCTAAGATATTGAAAGCTGAAGTATAAACTACCTGACGTGAGAGTGTATCGGAATGAGTTCGGACTTGAATCCCGATCCACGCAAGTAATACTGAAACTATTAATAATGCCCAGGCTTAGATCCACTGGCACTTCCAGCAACTGTCCATCAGGTGTGCATATTGGTGGTTCATCATTTGCTTCAAGAACATTTATTATCACCTAAAGAAATATTTAAAGAAATACTTGAAGGAACCGTAATGGTACGGTGGTTAGAATGCAGCATTGCAGGCTAACTCTGCCCACCGGAGGGAGTTCGATCCTGACCGGCTCCAGGTTGACTCAGCCTTCCATCCTTCTGTTGGTTAAATGAGGATGCAAATTGTTGGGGGCAATGGGCTGACTGTTCTGTCCCAGCCTACATGAGTCCTTGTTATGCTCACGAGGAGAAACCCTTCTTCCAAGAAACAGGCAGGAACCGCAAGAAAAAACCAACCCCTTTTATTCTCACAGACCTGAGTCAATGTCCAAGGCAAACAAACACAGTCCACAGAAACTCGATCCTCAACACGAACGGTTGCATTCGGCAACCAGCACCTCCCACACCTTCCCTTTTATAATTCAGCCAAGGCTGAATTCCTAATGCCTCTGGAGCCGCCCCATTGCATTCCTCTGTCCTACTCGCTTCTCTTTCCTGCGCATTCGTGCATCCGGGATTTGTCCCAGCTGTTCTTCATCACTGTCCAACTCAGGCTCCTGAGCGCGAGTAGAGGGGCCAGGCTCCTCGTCCGACTGTAAGTCTTGGAGCCCCTCAGAGCCTTCCTCTGACTCTGATGTCACTCCAGGCCCCTCCTCCTCCTCCTCTGATTCCTCAGACTCAGCTACCGGATCCACTGGCTGGCGAGGAATCACAACACTGACATTGTAAACCATTTAGACAGTGCTGTAAAGCGTTATGGGGCAGTATATACGTTTAAGTGCTATTGTTATTGCTAAAAAATCTGAAAGTTTTCAAGTCTATAGGTTCAGAGCTGGCTCTTGTAGTAGATGCAATAGAGCACTTGGTTTGGGCAGCAGATACTAAGGAACAAGAAGTCATGGCAAATTCTTAGAGGACCAACAACTCGGAGTAAAACATTTTGCAATTTATCAGCTTGAGAAAGCAGATCAGGAAGAAGCGATACCTTATCCTTCCTCTCAAGCAACACAACCTCTTGTATCAAGCAGTGTTCTTTGGGGAGATCAAATCCACTTCCATCCAGATTTCCATGTGACATAGTATCATATATTATAGTAATATATTCTCTTTTTTTAAATCAATGTTTGTTATTGAAACATAAAAGAACATATAAACTAACACAAATGAATTGTAGGAGAAGAGCAGGCAGAGCTGAGAGGTGGAGTTAAATGAGTCATCAGCCTAGAGTTGTTATGTGGTCACAAATGGTCTGACTCCAACCCCTTTTGAATTCCGTTGATCCTTATCGGGCGCAATTTAGAACTGAACTTTAATTGACTAGATCAAGGGTAGGCAACCTTGGCTCTTTTATGACTCATGGACTTCAACTCCCAGAATTCCTGAGCCAGCCATGCTGAGGGGAAAGGGAGAGGTTTCCAAGCTGAGCTATGTTGGCTCAGGAATTCTGGGAGTTGAAGTCCACGAGTCATAAAAGAGCCAAGGATGCCTACCCCTGGACTAGATTCTTGTGTATAGGCTGGAGCAAGAAATCTTTTTAAATGCAACTTAATGAATGGTTCTGATCATTTGTGGCTACATAATGACTCCAGGCTGATGACTCACTTAACTCCATAGGCAGCTCCGCCCGCTGTTCTCCTATCACTCAAGTTCAGACAAGGTCATGCACATTTTGCTTCTACAAGTGCCACCTCTGGCAAGTCCTACTGCATTTACCACAAAAAGGCAAGCAAAGTAAACTGCAAGGAGTCATAAGCTCTGTTTTAAATTTGCTAGCTTACTCACGGAGGAAGTTCCAGTATTGCCATCGTTGTCAGAAGCTTCCACTTTGAGAGTGTGCACTTGCTGTGTTTCATAGTCTAATCTCTTTGTGTTCTTCAAAATGCCCAACTGGGGATTGATTATGAATAAGTCTGTGACACCCCCACCACTCTCTCCAGACAAAATGGAGTAAGAAATCCCAGTAGGAGGCAAATCGTCGTCAGTAGCTAGGACTGCTCCTATAGGGGAATTTGCTGAAATGAAATAGCAACACATTAAGGCGACACGTAGGTAGTTTTGTGTGTGTGTGTGTGTGTGTGTGTGTGGTGTGTTTAAGAGATTGTGCAGCCCTCCGAATTGATTCTGAAACTGGGCTTCAGACTAGGGGGTCAAAAAAAAGTCAAAATGGTAGGCATTGTGTGGTCAAATCCTCACCTGATTTTAACACAAATCTCTAAAGCAGGAGTATCCATGTGACGGAAGCCATGTCCCCCTTTTATTTACTTGACGGCAGAGGTGTCCAACCTTGGCAACTTTTAAGATTTGTGGACTTCAACTCCCAGAATTCCCCAGCCAGCTAAGAGGACTCTGGGAACTGAAGTCCACAAGTCTTAAAATCGTCAGGGTTGGACCACCCCTGCTGTAAAGTAAATAAAAAGGGGACATGGCTTCAGTCACATGGATATTATTAAATTAAATTATTAAATAAATAAATAAACAAACAAATATTTATCCTATTTATATGGCCACCCATCTCACAAACTCACTCTATGGCCACCATCTTGATTTTTTATTTCTTTGACATCTTCCACAGATACTCTGCACTCAGACTGTGTGCAAATGCAGCAGTTTTGTGTTATTCATTAAAGTACCCCAAGGTTTTTTGTTTTTTTTTAGCCTGTTAGGGAAGCCTGATAGAAGAAATTTTTAAAAAATCGTTAAAGTGAATATGTCTTTCTTTCTTTCTTTCTTTCTCTCTCTCTCTCTCTCTCTCTCTCTCTCTCCCTCCCTCCCTCCCTCCGTCCCTCCCTCCCTCCCTTCCTTAATAATAATAATAATAATAATAATAATAATAATAATAATAATAAAGTTGGAAGTGACCTTGGAGGTCATCTAGTCCAACCCCCTGCTCTTTCTTTCTTTCTTTCTTTCTTTCTTTCTTTCTTTCTTTCTTTCTTTCTTTCTTTCTTTCTTTCTTTCTTTCTTTCTTTTTCTTCCTTCCTTCCTTCCTTCCTTCCTTCCTTCTTTCTTTCTTTCTTTCTTTCTTTCTTTTTGCTTAGGGGTTTCAAAAAAAAATTGGGATGCCCTAAGACAGAGGTCTCCAACCTGGGCAATTTTAAGACATGTGGACTTCAGTTCCATGCTGGCTGGGGAATTTTGGGAGTTGATGTCCAAAGGCCTTAAAGTTGTCAGGTTGTAGTAAGATCTCTGCTTTAAGGAATAATAGAGAGGTGCTATGTTGGCTAATGTTATGTGTTACTCCTTCTGAATCTCATAGTGTGCGTATGTGCATGGACAATATTAATATTTAATTTCTGTACTGCACTGTACTAAACAGATGAAAATCAGCAACCCTCACCTCTGCATACGAAAACCACTTTCAATCAATAAATAGCATTGACAAATACAATCTTTATGAACGTTATGGGTGATTTTGACTCACTTGAAGCCATGTGAAATATATCCCAATATTTATTCTATGTTTTTTCTATGCAGACATCAGAACAAGCCACGTGGGGAAAAAAAAATACACTGAAGACCGTTTGGACTGAGAATCCAGAAAAATCGTAATTTCCTTTGGCTGACAGCTAGCAAAATTACTCTTAACTTCCATTGCTTTCATTTTAATGGTTTTTGAGAAGTATGGAGGGATAATTTAGCTGCTAATTTCAAGGGTGAAATCCGCCATGGTTTGCAGGGAGAGGTTAAAAAAAAAATATTGAGATGCAGGCACAGTCATGTGACCGAAGCCCCGCCCCCTTTAGAACACACATTAAAAAGGCAAGGTTTTGATTGCAGGAACTAGCTGCCATCTTGAATTTTTGGCTCCACCACCCTAAAGACCATGCTAATTTAATTTTATTTATTGTCAGCAAATTCAAGTTTTCTTTAGGAAGGTGGTTTGGAAAACATTACTGTTTTGACAAAACTGCTTTGTTTACATAATGATACTAACTGATTTTTGTTTGTTTCCTGGATAACCAGAAAGTTTTAAAACCTTTTTTTTAAAAAAAAAAAAAAAAAAAAGAGGGAGGAAATAAGTATATTAGAGCAGGGCTTTTCAACCTTTTCACCCATTGTACCACTTTTAGGATACGGCAATATCCGAGTACCACCAGTCACCTAGCAAGGTGTCAAAAACTTGGTGACCAAAAAAAAAGGAAAAAAGTGACAAAGTACAAGTAGTCCTCGACTTACAACAGTTTGCTTAGTGACTGTTCGAAGTTACAATGGCACTGAAAAAAGTGCCCCCCCCAAGCCACAGCCGAGCAAGACACCTGCCTGCCCACCCGGCGACGCTCTTCCTCCTGTCCGAGGTTTCCATTGTTGTGAGCATTTCTGTTGAAGATTGGCAGCAGGGATGGGGTGGGGTTTTTTTGGTTTTTATTCCTCCCCCCGTCTGCTGGGTGGTTGCAGCAGGTTTTGGTCACTTCACATGACCCTGGGACACTGTGACCGTCATAAATATGAATCAGTTGCCAAGCATCTGAATGTAAATCACAAGACCCTGGAGAGGCTGCAACGTTCCAGCTGATCGGCGCTTCTTCTGGGCTCAGCAGAAGTGCCAGGATCAGGGCCGAGCTCCAGCTGGAGCCTGGCGCTGATCTTGGCGCTTCCACTGAGCCCTGACAGTCCCGAAGAAGCGCCGATCAGCTGGAAAGCGGCACTGATCCTGGTGCTTCTGCTGAGCCCTGACAGCCCTGCACCTCCAGCCGTCTCTCGCTCAGGATTGTGCGGTGCTGCCACCGGTTCAGCTCATTCCTCTCCCCCGCTATAGGATGGTTGCATACCACCTGCCAGGTGCCAATGTACCACAGGTGGTACCCGTACCACTGGTTGAAAAGCCCTGTATTAGAGTTTGAAGAGTGTTCAAACACATCATTCGGTGGTTTATTTGGTCTTAAAGAAACATTCACCCCAATTAAACAATTTGCGTAGCAGATACAGGGTAGAGAATTAGCTTCAGTTTGAGAAAATTCTATTTTATAGCCTTGTAAATTTCCAAAAAAGCCATCGTAACTTACGTGACATCATTTCAGAGACATTAAAAATGTATAAAGAGCTATTGAAGACTGGATCAAACTCATTTTCCGGCTGAATGTTGATGTAAATGTAGATTAGTTCTGTAAACATAGCAAGTAAGAAAAGCGTGAAAGAGGACAAGAACTATAAGCCCCATTTAAAGAGATTTTTTTTCCCCAGAAAAAGGGTGCAAAAAGGAAAGTTAATACTAACCAGGGAAGTAAGGCTCAGAAACATCCTGGATGACAGTATTCAGAATATATTGTCTCTGCACACTTCCATCTGTTGTGTTTTCCAAGTCTACATTTCCTATAAGCTTAAAAGAACATATTTTTACACAGTCCTCAATTTATGACCACAATTTAGCCCAAAATTTCTGTCGCTAAGCGAGACAGTTGTTAAGTGGATTTTGCCCCATTTGATGACCTTTCTTGCCACAGTCGTTAAGTGAATCATTGCAGTAGTTAAAATTAGTCACCCGGTTAAGTGAATCTGGCTTCCCCACTGACCTTGTTTGGCAAAAGGTCACAAAAGGGGATCATATGACCTGGGGACGCTGTCATAAATGCGAGTCAGTTGCCAAGCATCTGAATTTTGATCACCTGACCTTAACAACTGACTCACTTAGCAACAGAAACTTGGGGCTCAGTTGTGGTCGTAAGTGGAGGACTCCCTGTACATTTAATCGTAGATGTTTGCAGTTCATTGCAAGAGGTTTGATCACATGATTGTGGACCCCATCTTGATTTTTTTTGTTTTTGACAGACTCACTTCGCAACAGATGCAGTGGTGGGATTCAAATACCTGAACAACCAGTTCTCTGCATGGATGCAGGCCTGGGTCTCTGAGGCCTAGAACGGACTTCCGGAAGTGGCATCCCCGCACTTCCAGAGGGCCGTTCTAGGCCTGGGAGGCCTCCTCCAGGCCTTCCAGGCCTAGAATGGACCTCTGTAAGCGGTGTGCATTCAGCCAGTTCTCCAAACTCAACAAAATTTAGCTACTGGTTTTGCCAAACTGGTGCAAACCAGCTGAATCCCATCACTGCTTACAACCGGTCCATTTCAAGGACATTGGGCCAGCGCTGCCGAAGACATTCCCGCGTTCATAGGGCCAGCATGACGTCGCGGAGCGCTGTTACCTTCTCGCTGAAGTGGTACCTATTTATCTATTTGCGTTTGCATGCTTTTGAACTGCTAGGTTGGAAGGAGCTGAGGCAAGGACGGGAGCTCACCCCTGTCGCGTGATGCTCGGGTCTCGAACCTGGGCTGCTGGCTTTCCACCTGACAAACCCAGCATCTTAACCACCAGGAACTCTATAGTGGTCCTGAAATGTCCCAGAGTCTCAAAGAATTTATATTAGGTTAATGCACAATGAAATAAGTTTTGGCTTCATTCTAAATAAATGGATTGATTTTGCTTCTTAATACAACAAATGCCCCAGGTTTAATGTTCTGAGTGGCAGGATATTTTTGATAACGCTCTTGTCGATACAGATAAGACGCTTACATATCTCCACATAAAATCTTGACCGCTTTTAAAGCTACTTTTAATGGGCAACACTTCCCTCGCTGCACTTCCTGTGTTGATTATATTTGAATAGGCACGCCATTCTCCAAATTTAAATAATATAAAACAATTAACTGGCAGACCTTAATTCTTCCGGAGTGTGGAGGATCCTGGGTAAATTTATTACTTCCAATTCCAGATAGTTCAGTGAAGTTAAACAAATTGTGTGGAGATTCAGCATCTTCATCTTCGCAAAAATTCTTCAAATTGATCATTTCAAGTCCAGGGGAAGCCGTTTCAGGAATTACCACCCTATTGAAGAAAAAAAACAAAACCAAATTAGCTATTTATTTCAGGTTCTTTGCATAACTCTCCCAAGTGTCTAAAAGAGTTATCTCGTGTGTTAGAAATTTTGAGGGGGGCATACGATGATGTCAGAAAAGAGAACTGAAAAAAGTGTTTTAATAACTTTTCATGGGCCTTAAGAGGAGGTCTTTGCTGGTCTCCTTCCCACTTTTTAACATCAATATAAACAAAGGCATCTGTTCAGTGGTGGGATTCAGCCGGTTCGCACCAGTTCAGCAGAACCGGTAGCTAAATTTTGTTGAGTTTGGAGAACCGGCTTCCGAAAGTCCGTTCTAGGCCTGGGAGACCTGGAGGAGGCCTCCCAGGCCTAAAACAGCCCACCAGAAGTGCCTGGATGCCATTTCCGGAAGTCCGTTCTAGGCCTGGGAGGCCTGAAGGAGACCTCCCAGGCCCAGAACGACCCGCCGGAAGTGCCTGGATGCCATTTCCGGAAGTCCGTTCTAGGCCTCAGAGGCCAGAAGGAGGCCTCTCAGGCCTAGAACGACCCACCGGAAGTGCATGGATGCCACTTTAGGAAGTCCATTCTAGGCCTGGGAGGCCTGAAGGATGCCTCCCAGGCCTAGAACGACCTGCCGGAAGTGCATGGATGCCACTTCAGGAAGTCCGTTCTATGCCTCGGAGGTCTAGGCCTGCATCCATGCAGAGAACCGGTTGTTCGGGTATTTGAATCCCACCACTGCATCTGTTGCGAAGTGAGTCTGTCCTCCTCCTCCTCCTCCTCCCACACCCCATTCCCTTTTAGCACTGATGATGTTACCTAGTTGGGTGATGAAACGTCTGCAAAAAACCCACCAAGTTCAGAGACCCCCACCGTTCCACCCTGAGTTTCAAATATCCTCTACTATCAGTAGTATAAACGATTATTACCTGTCATTGTATTCTCTGCATTTGGGCGGAAGGTCATTGATATCTTCGACAAAAATGAAAATCTCAGTTTCAGCAGTCCTTTCATGGGTAGGGCTATCCTCAACACGGATGGTCAAAGAAATATTAGGATGGGTTCTGAGGGGGGAAGCATCACGATCTAGCCGAGCAGACACCAAGACCGTACCAGTCACTAAAACAGAAATAAGCTGTAAGAGTTTCCAGGCACCAGCGCGGGCCGAGCATTTGATTACAACACATTTTGATTTATTTGTATTCCGCTTTTATTATTTTTGCAAATAACTGAAGGCGGCGAACTTCTCCAACACACCTTCCTCCTCCGATTTTTCCCCACAGCAACAACCTTGTGAGATGAGTTGGGCTGAGGGAAAAAAGACTGGCCCAAAGTTACCCAGCTGGCTTTCATGGCTAAGGCAGGACTAGAACTCACCGTCTCCTGGTGATTGGCCCAAAGTCACCTAGCCGG